ATAATAGAGAAAGATTAGTATATTCATCAAATAGTTACATGATTATATGAAATGAGCCTCATTAATTTTTTTTTACTTATTGGAGAAATTCAAAATAAAATGAGAGATTTTATTATTAACTCATTAAAATGTTTGGGAGAAATGATTAATTTTCATTGCTGCTTAGAATATGAAAAATATCTGTACTCTACTATTGTTGGTAGGAATGCAATATGTTATATAACATGCACTTGGCTATTAGCTCTTTTTAATAAAACTAAAAGTACCTTGTCCAGAACAACAAAAGAGGGGGTAACAATGCTCAACAATTCATGTATTCATTACCTTACTCCTATAACTGTAAATCCTCTGTACAGCATGTTTATATAACATTGTTAAAATTCCTCTGAAATCTAATGTATAGCAATAATATAAGAGAATTTTTTTTGAATTAACACATTTGTAAGTGACTGTTTAGAACAATCCTAATATTTGCTAAAATCAAAAATGTAAATATCCTTCAGCCTATATTCAGAATGAAAACTCTGGTAATTTGGAATGCTACTGACAGCTTCTGAAGAAGGTGGATGGTCATTGCACAAAACCATTAACCTATGTCAATTAATGTTCAACACGGTAGAATAATGAATCAAAATACAGAAATAAGTGCCAGTAAGTGAAATCTATTTAATCTAGAACTTGTTAAACAGAAAGCTATACATAATGAGTGAAAGTATAGATTTTACTTGTTAATAATATCACCAATTTGTAATGTATTTCAAAGCTCCTAGAATATTATACATCTGTTATACTGCAAAATCTGACATTTTTTCCTGGATACAACAACTTTTCACAACATTCTTTATCTTAAGTGCTTTTTATTTTATTAATCTTACAAATAGAAATGATTTTATTCTGCTTCTCTCAATAGGTAATCGTTGTACTACCAAGGAGTAAATGGATGTGAATAAATATAGATGAGGACCGTGTGTGTGTGTGTGTGTGTGTGTGTGTGTGTTTGTGTGTGATTGAATAGCTAGAGAAAATAAAAATAAACAGAAAAAATTACAGCTTTCCATTTAATTACCTTGCACCATTATGAAAATATGAAGTACACCTTAATGTCTCAGTACACCTTAATGACATTTAGAAATTGAAAGGATGAATTGGACAGTTCTCTCAGTCCATTTTGATCTAGAATTCTCATTTGTCCCCTAACAATGGATATATGAGCTCTCTGACCACTCCTCTATAAAAAAAATATGATCACATGGTGTCATCTATGTAATTCATGCTGTGCTCAGAATGCATATACAAGATCCTGTCATTTGTTTAATCTGAGGAAGGCTAACCTTTTGCTATATGGTTTAAATTACAAAATCTTACCTCACTTGTAGAAGTGAATAGATCATTTGCCTGTCGGACCCTTAAAAGTAATTATTTCAAAATGAGGATATGAATACAAATAGGGACTGTTATGTAATAAAGGCCATGTGGTTTTTTCAAAGATGCTAAGAGGCCATAATAAATTTGGAATGTAAGAATATGATCATGGTGATGAATCCAAAATGTGATGTAATAATATCATGTCATAATAATATTTTATGTCACAATTAGTTGGACATATAAAACATAAGATGAGGTCACAATAGGGTTGTGATGTCACAGTGGTTTGGTGTTATAAAAATATGCATGATCTCAAATATCATTAACTCACAATGGGTATATGAGGTCTCAAAGGGATTCTGATGTCTTCAAAGGCAAATGTTGATACAAATGTGATGAAGTCATAACAGTTTTGAGATGTCACAATGTGATACAATGGTCATGAAGTCTGGCAGTGTGATATCACAGTGGTCATGATCTCACAGTCAAAGTGGATTTCTGGTATTAGTTGTCAGACCAGAAATATTATGTGGTGGAAAACAGATTATGGACTCACCAAGGGCCTAAGACAATACACAAGCAACTTGTCACAAAAGTTATGAGGACAGGACAGGTTTGTGATGTCACAATGGCAATATGATGTCACTATGATTATGAGGTCACACTGGGTTTCTAATATCAACATCCATTCCACAATTAAATGCGAAGAAATCACATAATAATCATTTACAATGTGTCTATGATGTCATGATGACAATGTGTTTCCATAATTGTTTGACATCATTGTAGATTATTGATGTAACAATGAGCTGATGCTATCAAAAATACTAAGATGGTGTCACACTGTTGCTTATGTCACAATGGGTTTGTGATGTTACAATGGCATGTCTGATCTCAATTGTCCATAATTAACAGAGGTTATGCATACACAAATGTTCTATCATGTCCTAAAGTCCATGTGGTTTTTCAAAGGTTCTAAGTTACATGATTATATGAAATGAGCCTCATTAATTTTCTTTACTTATTGGAAAAATTCAAATTAAAATGAGGGATTTTATTATTAACTCATTAAAATGTTTGGGAGAAATGATTAATTTTCATTGCTGCTTAGAATATGAAAAATATCTGTACTCTCCTATTGTTGGTAGGAATACAATATGTTATATTTTATAGGTTCTAAGAGGTTATAATAGCTTTGGGAGGTCTCAATGCCATTGTGATGTCAGAATGGCAATGTTAGTGATACCACAATGGCACAATTGATCTCAATTTTCATTAATTCACAGTGAGTATATGAGTTCATGAAAGACTATGATATCTCCAAAGGTGTGTATTTTAACGAATGTGACGAAGCCTTAATAGGTTTGTGATGTCAAAATGTGATACAGTTGTCATTGTGATGATTCAATGGTCATGATGTCACAGTGAATTTCTAATATCACATGTATTACCTGAAATATTATGAGATCAAAGACAAATTATGAGCTCACAAAGGGACTTAGATCTCACAATGACAGCATGTCAAAAAATTTTGAGGAGAGGTTTGTGATGTCAGAGTGAGATAGTATATCACAATGGCCATGTGATGGCACAAATAATTTATGATGTCACAATGGTTCCAAGTACACAATGGGTTTCTGATATCAACACTCATTCCCCACATGAAATACAATGAAATCACAGAATAGGCATTCACAATATGTCTATGATGTCACAATGGTAATGTAATGTCAAAATGCTATGCTGTAATTGTACTTTTGTGATGTCACACTGACCTGAATGTGTCATAAAACTGTGATATCACTTAAGTGATGATGTCCAAAGGTAATTTTATGTGACACTAGAATGTCTGATCGAAATTGTCATTAGTTGATAATGAGGATTTGGGGTCACAAGGGACTGTGATGTCACAAAGGGCATGTGTTTCTGTTTGTTTTTTGGTCAGTCATTTGCCCTCAACTCTGGGCCTGGGCACTGTCCATCAGTTCTTCAGCTCAAGGCTAGTACTCTACCACTTGTGCCACAGTGCCACTTTCAGATTTTTCTTATGTGATGTTGAGGAATGGAGGCCAGAACCTCTTGTGTGCAAGACAAGAACTCTAACACTGAGCGACCTTCCTAGCTGGCCATATTTTTAAAGTTGCTAAGAGGACATAATAGGTATGGGATGTCACAACGTGTTCCTGATGTAACAAGAGCAATGTGAGGTCAAAATAGCATATCATAATATTTTGAAATGTCACAACGGGAATGAGGTCAAAATAGATTTGTGACATCATGACGAGTTTGTAATAACACAGTGTCAGGTCCAATTATAATTGCTACATGAGCTGGAATACCCAAAGGACATTAATTTTCTGAAATGTTATCAAGTCTTACTAGTTTGTGCAAACACAAGACAATGATATCACAATGGCAATGTGGTGTCAAAATATGATGTCATTACATTGTTTTGATATCAAAATGAGTTGATCATGCCTTAATGGTGATGAGGCCACAATAGGTTTGACATCACAATTGGATTGTGAAGTCAAAGTGGCATGCTAAAACTCAATTGTCATTAACTCACAAGGATTATGAGTTCAACAAGGAACGGTGACATTTCCAAGGTATGTGTTGTCACAAATGTGAAGTTCTAAGTGGAGTATGATGTCACATTTTGACACAATGGTCATGACATCTGGCAGTGTGATGTTAAAATAGTGATGATGTCACAATGCATTTGTGATAGCACATGTCAGAGTTGCTAAATATTCATGAGGTTTTTGATGAAACAATGTTATCATGATATTACAACAGCAATGTGATATCACAATGGATTTATGATGTCACAATGCTTATTAGGTCACATGGTGTTAGTGATGAAACAATGAAATTGTAATATCACAATCATATGTCAAATTTCAATTGCTACTTATTCACAATTCATATATTATTTTACAGAAGAAACTTGAAGTCCCAAAGCCATGAATTTTCTAAAATGATATGAGGTCATAACAGGTTTGGGAAAACACAATAGTCAGTGATATCACAAAGGCATCATGATATCAAAATATGATATCATAATGATGTTTGATGTCACAATTAATTGGTAATGTCATAATGGTGATGATATCACAAGAGGTTTGGGATGACTCAATGGGTTGGTGATTTTAAAAATGTATGCAGATTCTCAATTTTCATTGGCTCAAAATGAGTATATGAGCTCATAAAAGGACGATGATGTCTAGAAAAGCCATTGTCACAAATATGTCATCATCAGCTCATTATGGAACCATCAAATTACTATGATATCCTACCATTATAGCATCACATTTTCATTGTGACATCATAGACATACTGCGGATGCCTACTTTGTAATTTCAATCTATTCCAAACCCATTGTGACCTCGTAGATATTATTATCCATATCTTCATTGTCAAATAATTCCAATTGAGATCAGTCATGACTTTGTAACATCACAAACCTTTTAAAATATCCTCACTACTGTGATACCATATTGTCTTTATACCATCACCTCATTGTGAAATAACCCAAAGAAAATCACATCATATAATTATGACATCACATTGTCATTTTGAAGTCATAGACACACTGTGAATGTGTATTCTCTGATTTCATTCTATTTCAAATGTGCCATTTTAGGTTATCAGAAACCCATTGTGACATCATTACCATTGTGACATCACAATCCCTTTGTGACATCACATTTCCATTTTAATACCACTACCCCACCAACATCACAAACCATTCTGTCCTCATAACTTTTATTATATGCTGACTTTGTGATATCTTATGCCCTTTGTGAGCTCATAATCTGTTCTCAACCTTATATTTCAGGTATGATATATGATATAAGAAATGCACTGTGATCCTGACAACTGTCATCACAGTATCAGAAATCATGATGGTTGTGTAACATTGTGATGTCACAATCATGTTAGGAGTTCATTACTTTTGTGATAACTCAGGCCTTTGGAGACATCACAGTCCCTTTGTGATCTCATATACTCATTGGCAGTTAATGATAATTGAGAACCAGGATTTCATTGTGACATCATAAATGTATTGTGACCTCATGACAATTATGGCATGACAAACTAATTTTGACATCAAAACTTTATGACAACGTATTGTGACATCACATTGCCATTGTGATATCATTGTCTTATTGTCTTTGCAGAAGCTGATATAACTTCATAACATTTTAGAAAAATAATGGCCTTTGGGAATTCCAGCTCTTTCGGTGAGCTCAGACTCGTGATCTAGTAGCAATGGGAATTGGACATGTCCCTGCGTGATTACAATCTCATTCTAATGTCAAAAAACTTTTTTTTTACCTCATTCTCACTGTGACATCAGCAAGTCATTGTGACATTATATTGCCATAGTTACATCCTGGCCAATTTATAATAGCCTTAATTCCTTTGAAAAAAATATATGGCTTTTGTGACATCACAATTTCTTTGTGTGCCCATATCTTCATTGTGAATTAATAACAATTTCACAAAGACATGCCATTGTAACATCAGAAGCGCTTTGTGACATCATCTCTATTATGCCATAACATTGTCATTATGACACCATCAGCTCATAATGACATCACAAATCTCCAATTACATCAGAGCATTTTGACATGAAATTTTCATTGTGATCTCATACATACACTAAATTGCTATTCTGATTATATTCTATTTCAAATGTGACATGTAGTTTGATATCAGAAACCACCAGCATGGGTACTAGTGAGTGCAAGAAACTGTCTCTTTTACAAGGCTGCCAGAGTAATTCCTCTCAGGCCCCACTCTCTTTACTATGATGGCACAATTGTGAGTCTCCTTCCTTGGACTTTTCTCTGAAAAACTAAAACTTGTTTCTACATGAGAGCTTGCTTAGCCACCAGTTTATCCTCTAGCATAATGACAAAATATGGCATGCCACTGTGATATAACCAACACATTGTCACATCTCAAACCTATAGTGAAATCATCACCAGAGTGCTATCAACAACTAATTCTGATAACAAACCACTATTATGACATGATATTTTGACATAATATTGCCATTGTGGTATCACTGTCCAATTTTGTTTTCAGAAACCAAGTATGACCTCATAACATTTTAGAAAATTCATGATGTTTGGGACTTCAAGCTCCTTCTGTGTCCTATCCTCAATTTACTAGGAATAACTGATATTGGACATGGGATTGTGATATTAAAAACATGTTTTGAAGTCACAAATCCATTGTGACTTCATCACTATGGCATCACACATGCATCATGATATCAAACTGCCATTGTGACATCACAATCACATTATGACCTCTTGGTTCTCTTGAAAATCTCTTTGTGATGCCACAGTCATATGTGTACGTTTTGTGAACTAATGACAATGGAAATCAGACATACCATTGTAACCACAAAACATTTGTGTCATTACCAGTATGACATCACATTATCATTATGACAGCAAGAGCTTATTTTTGACATCACAAACTGCAATGATATAAAATTATGACCTCACATTATTATTATTGTGATGTCATACATACATTATGAATGTGTATTCTGCGATTACATTCTATTTCAAATGTGGCATATGGATTGTTATTAGTATATGTTGTAACCTCATAACCATTATGACATCACAATCATTTTGTACCATCATGATATCATTGTGATATCATTAAACCACTGTGACACCACAAACCTGTACTTTCTGCATGTTTGTGACATGCTGTCATTGTGAAGTTAGGACCTTTGTAAACTCATAATCTGCTTTCCACCATATATTTCAGGTATGACTTGTTATATCAGAGTCAACTGTGAATCATGACCAATGTGAGATCACACTGACAGTCGGCATGAACATTGTGTCACCTTGTGACATCAAAAACCAGATAAACTTCATCACATTTATAACACAAGTGCCTTTGGAGTCATAAGAGTCAATTTGTAAACTTGGACATTCATCAAGAATTAATGACAATTGAGATCCCCCATTGTGACATCACAAACCCATTTTGATATCACAAAACTATTGTGACCTCATCAACAATTTGGCATCATCAATTATGAAATGGGAACATTATTATATTGTTGCTGGTTTTCAAGGAAGTTCAGGTGGCTCATTAAATATGCTTGGAAACTTCTTATGTTTCCCCACAGTCATCCAGGGCAAAGGGGTCAGCAGGTCTGGCATGGGCACAGTCGATCCAAGCAGCAATGTTGTAGACTTTAAGAGCAGTGGGTGTAGCAAGTAGCACTATGTGGTTCTAGAGATCTCAAACTGTGCCTTTGAACAATCACCCAGTCCCCTGATTTAAATGATTGGGGGGTAGGAATAGAAGCAGAATCATATAATGCTCTAAGCTGGGGCCACATACTCTTATGCATAAGCTGTAAATAGTCAAGCTTACACAGAAATTCAGTATCATCCAAATAGCAAGCAATTCAGTCTGGTGGCTAGGGATAATGGGTGGGGAGTGTCCATACATTATACTCTAAACAGGGCAAAAGGAAGAAGCAATACCCAGTCTTCACCAGGTTCCAGAAACAATGTAATTAAGGTCTCCTTTAGAGTCTGATTCAGATATCTCCAATTTGTTGTAGGAACTCAGAGCTACAAACTCCCAAGAACTGCCTTTGGTGTGCTATAGAGGAGCTTGGAATTTCTGTTTGTTTGTTTTTTTTTGGTAAAAATCATGAATATTTGAATTTCTTTTCTAACCTCTTCCATGACCCACTGATAGTTCAAGAGTGTATTTTTCAGCCTCCAGGTGTTACAGGATTTTCTTGGTTGGCTTTTGGTGTTGAATTGTAGTTTAATTCCCTTGTCTGAGTGAATGCAGGGCATAATTTCAATGTTTCTAAATGTGAACAACTTTGCTTTGTGACCTAAAAAGTGCTCTGCTTTGGAGAAAGTTCCATGTGTTGATCAGAAGGACATGTATTATGATGCTGCTGTGTGAAATATTCAGAAGATATCTGTTCAGTCTAGTTGACCTATGTAGTTGAGTAGATCTGAGATTTCTCTATTGAGTTTCTGCTGGGGTGATCTATCCAGTAGGGATGGTGGTGTGTTAAAGTCCCTTCAAAACAATTATAAAAAATGTCTTTTTATATATGTGACATTTTAGAGAAAGTGATGTTTATTGGAAAATTTGGGTGCTCCGTTATTTTGTGAATGTATATTTAGGATTGTTTATATCCTCCTGAAGGAGAGATCCCTTAATTAGTATGTAATGACCTTCTTATTCTTTTTTGCTAATTTTAATTTGAAGTATATTTTATCTGATTAGGATTGTAAGTCCCACCTCTTATGGGGACCATTTGCTTGGTAGATTTTCTTCTAGCCTTTCATTTTCAGAGTATTTGATTTTGTGTGAAGACAGAAGTGAGAATGATATTGTTTTTGATGCAACTAGAAATTTTATGTTGCTTAATTGGACAGTGAAGCCCATTAATATTGAAAGTTGGGATTTAGAGGTGTTTGGCAATTTCTGCCATGTTATCCAATTTCTTGGGGGCTGTGCCAACTGGGTTTGGTGAGATTTGAGGGCTTCAAATTTTTGGTGAGAGATTTGTTTTAGATCTTGTATAGACTTCACTATCTCCTTAAATTCGCTTCAGTGTTCCTTCTCAAATCTTTGGTGATTGGTTATAGTTTCATTGGACCCTTTCCATCTGCTAGGTTTCATTCATCATTCCTTTTGGGGCCTGCATGGATTCTTCCAGCTTACTGTTCGTGGACTCCATGAATACATCTATTAATTTGTGTTTATTCCCATTCCACTTACACATTACCTCAATTAATCTTTAGCCTCATCAAGCTCATGAATTTTCCTGTCACACTCAGACTTTTTCCTAGCACGTTTATTCAGAGCCGTTTGCAGGTGTTCAATATTTTTATTCAGCATTATTATCAGTGTTGTTTGGGGAACTCTCCTCTGGATTGTTAACTGCTCTGTTTCCTTATTATCATGAATGAGAGTTGAGATACCTGGAGTTGCTATTTTTCTTGTGTTTCTACACTTTGTTCTGCTGCTTTTGGTATTAAAGCAAAACCAATACCGTTCGAGAACACTATTTTAATGGAATCATCAACCAGATTTCTGTAGTTGCACAGATTGAACAGTCAAAATGAATACATGTATGATCCAGTTAAGTAGATATAACCTACTTCAGCAACAAACAACTAGGGACTAAGAAAATCAAAGAAGGTGTCACCAGACAAAAATTAATAGCATTTGAATTATTTGGAGAAAATAAGATTAGATGAATGTGAAGATGGAAAGAGAGAGGGAATGTAAACAAGACATATATGCAGAGAGAGACAAAGTATAGAAAGAAAAGAGAAGAGAGAAACAGACAAAGGAAAAATGAAAAATAAAATTTAAAAGTGAAACAAAAAATTATATAAATAAGTTAAACAAGAGCAAGAAAGGAAAACCATTTGAGTTCTTACCTTGCTATTGTAATTGTAACCCCTATATACAGTATTTTTACAATTAAAAACATCAGTATTTTTACAATTAAAAAAATCTTATTAATAAAAAATAAAGACATTCGGACATGAATATATCTTTATATTAAAGTATACTACAGTTAAAGGAGTTACAGCTGAGAGTTTGTGAATTGAGTAATAGATATCTGAATTAAGGATGTGCACACACTGAAGGAAATGGTCTAATATAAGATGTGTGTTTATCAAGGAATGAATAGAACAGCAATTATATAAAGCCAAAAAACAAAAAGAACTAATAGAAAAAAAAAAGTAAAAGGAGAATTAAAAAGTTTAATAACAGTGAAGAAAAGAATTGAAAACAATTTAATTAAATAAAATCAGATTTTTAGAGGGGAGATTTTTTTTTTTTGGTAGGTCGTGGGGCTTGAACTCTGGGCTTGGGCACTGTCCCTCAGCTCTTCAGCTCAAGGCGAGTGCTCTACCACTTGAGCTACAGTGCCACTTCCAGTTTTGTGGTGGTTTATTGGAGATAGGAGTCTCACGGTCTCTCCTGCCCGGGCTGGCTTTGAACCACGATCCTCAGATCTCAGCCTCCTGAGTAGCTAGGATTACAGGCGTGAGCCACCAGCGCTCGGCTGGGGAGTTTTTTTAAGAGGTGAAACCAGGTTCAGGAGGTCACAATGTGCTTCTGATATAACAATGGCAATGTGATGTCACAATGGGGTTGTCATGCCACAGTGATGATGCAATGACAATCTCTGTGAGGTCACAATGAATTTGTAGTATCAATAAGTATATGAATTCACACAGGGACCATGATGTCTTCAAATAGATGTGCTATCACAACAGTGATGAAGTCCTAAGAGGTTTGTGATGTCACCATGTGATACAATGGTCATGAAACCTGTCAGTGTGATGTTAGTATGGTCATGCTGTTTCAGTGGATTTCTGATATCACATAGGCAGCATGTCACAAAAGTTATCAGGACAGACAGGTTAGTGATGTCACAGTGTGTTAGTTGTAATACAATTTCATTGTGATATCACAATAGTTCTGATGTCACCCTGCATTTCTGATATCAAAACACATGCCACATTTGAAATAGAATGAAATCACAGAATAGGCATCCCCAATTTGTCTATGGCATGATTATGGCACTGTGATGTCAGAATGCAATTATGTCCTTGCAGTTTTTTGATGTCCCAATGAGCTGATTTTGTTATAACAATAATGTGATGTTATAGTGGTGATGATGATACAAATGGATTGTGATGTCACCATGGCCTGACTTATCACAATTATTGTTAGATCACAAAGAGGATAATAGTAAAGATAGGGATTGTGATATCACAGAGGCAATGTGTTTTTTTTTCAAACAAGCTAACAGTTCACAGTAGGTTTGGAATGTCACAATTTGATTGTGTCAGCACAATGGCAATGTGAATTCACAATGTGTTTGAGATGTTACAATGCTGACACAATATGGATATTAAAAAGTAATTGTGATGTAACAATGGTTATAGGGACACAATGGGTTTCTGATATTAACCCACATGGAAATGTGAAATGGAATGAAATCACACAATATGCATTCACAATATGCTTATCACATCCCAATAAGGATATGATGTGATAATGCTATCACTATAGTTCAGTGATGTTGCAATGATCTGAAGATATCATATGAACAATTTGTCACTCTGGAGATAATGTCACAAAGATAATAGTTCAAAATGAAGATATGGATACACAGACCTTGAAGTCACAAAGACTATTTGTCTTTTCAAAGGTGCTAGGAGGTCAAAATAGGTTTGGTGTGTCACAATGTGATTATGATATCACAATGTCAATGTGATTTAACAATGGGCTTGTGAATGACTATGAGCTCATATTGGGTTTGTAATATCACAATGAGTTTGTAATATCACAATAACATTTCCAATATCAATAACACAATGGCAATGTCATAATTGAAACATTCTAAGGCATAAAACACGATCAGATTATGAGCTGACAAAAGTCCTAGAAAATCACAATGGTTGCTTCTTAAGGAAGCCCCCCAGATAACCTCCCAAGGAAGTCCCAGATGGCTTCCCGAGGAACCACCAGATGAACACCAGAGGAGGTCAGAGGTCACCTCTCAATAACATGACAGATGACTTCTCTAGGAGGACCCAGATGGCATCTCAAGGAAGCCACAAATGACCTCCAGAAAAGGTCCCCAAAACAGGCTATCATGCTTACCAAGACTCAACACTAGAGTATTCTTACATGAGTCTTTTCGATATTGGTCCTTGGGAGCCAAACACTCAAGGGAGGCTCTCAGTTCTGAGGTCATAGAAATTCACCTAAGAGGGGGTTTTCCCAGGCCAAGGCCCAAGGCCATCTCACTGGAGCCTCCAAAAATAATGACCTCTAAAGCACAAAACAATGCATAGAGGCATATTTAAAATAATAAACAAATTAATTTACAAAATAAATGGCCTGAGATTGCCTCATTCTGTGCTGGATGCCTAGAGCCAAAAGCAGCCTTGACCAACAAAACTTCGACTTCAAATAGGCAGCCCCACCCTTTGTTAATTGGTCTGCAAACTACCATCCCCACAATTATGATCTCCAAATCTCCATATTTCAAAGGTCAAGGCTTTTTACTTTTCACTTCCTCCCTCCCTCTTTACTGACTTGTCTTTCCTTCCAAGGTCTTTCCCTTTTTCCCATCTACCACATCCTTCTTCTCTTCAGGATTTTCCACATTCCACAGGAATGTCATGCTCTGAACCGATGGCCAGTTGGCAATCTTTCCCTACTGCTCTCCTTCAATTCTTCCCCTCCCAGGTCTTTCCCCTCCTGCTGTCTCACCATGTCCTTCCTTCCAGGTATTTCCCCTCATTCCATCCTATTCAGTTGCTCAGAAAACATAACCTGTATCCCTTCCCAACTCCAACATGACTCCTTTCTAAACTAATTCAATTGTCACTTTCCAAACTGCCAACTGCCCAATCACTACTTGACTGCTAACCATGTGGAGCTTAATATTCCACCCCCACACAGCAGAATGCCCATCGCCCTGTATCAACATGCCTTGCCCCTTCCAGATGGCTGGACCACAGGGCCATGCTGATTGCCAGTTTCTTCAGAAGCTAGGGACTCCCTTGGTTTTCATGGTGTCCTCATTTTGAACTAAAAGGTATTGAATTTGGTCATGTCATTGTGATATTACAAACTAGTTGTGGCATCACTAACCCATTAGCACCTCACCAAACTGACCTCAAAAACCCATTGTGACATCACATTGCCCTTGTGATACCATGATTATTTTGTGACATTCCAAACCTAATATGACTTGGAAAAAACCACATGTTCTTTTGACATCATAGTCCCTTTGTTTAACAATACATTCATTGTGAACTAAGGACAATTGTGCTGACATGCCATCGTAATAACACAAAACTTTTGTGACATCACTATCAATGCCAAATCATTTATTTATGACATCATCAGCTCATTGTGACATCACCAAAATGCAATAAG